ATAATTTCATTTTATTTTCTGTTTCCCACAAAAAGTCCAAAACAGGCTTCCAATTGGTAATAAATTTAGTCAGCATCTTTTTCTCTAAACCTCCATTTCTTCGTTCTTCGTTCTTTGTTATATTGCAAGCTCTGGATTTTAGTTTCCAAACCAGAAGAGCCTTAAATTTGAACGTGTTTGTTTATGGATTCAGATGAATGGGATGCATTCAGGTCTTGGATTGTGCTTCTGAGTTGGAAAACAGATTTTTCTCTGGATGAGGCAAGCCGTGCTTTTCAGCGCTGATTTGCAAGGGACAGTGCCTGCTTGTGTGAAAGTAGGTCAGTGGAATTCCTGCTGGGTGAGGATTAATAGCGGATCAGGGTTCACTTTCACATCCGTCCTGCATTTACGGACACTGAGTAAACTAAGGCAAATCATCTCCTCTTGTATCAATCCTGGTGCCTCTGTTTGAAAGAATAAATAGCATAGTCTGGGTTGAGTTGCCGTGAGAGAGATCAAAGAAAATACTGAAAGATAACATTGTTTTCGAGATATACGGTGCATTGTTACATTCACAGGGGCAATGGGAATATGTTTTTATGTTTTATATTTCTGATTTTACATTGATAACGGGCATACCTTTCCAATTACCTGTGCCTAATAGGTTACCGATCCTTCATTCTCTTCTCCTCTTTTTTTTTCTTCCCTTCCCGGTCAAAGGCAAAAAGATGATGTGATTTATTTATTTATTAAATTTACTGGCCATCCATCTTACCACGGAGTAACTACAGGTGGCTTACAATATTAAAAAGATAAATAAAATACCACAAAAATGCAAAATACAACACACAGCTCTAGCTAAACCAGGGGTAGGCAACCTTGGCTCTTTTATGACTCGTGGACTCCAACTCCCAGAATTCCTGAGCCAGCCATGCTGAGGGGAAAGGGAGAGGTTTCCAAGCTGAGCCATGCTGGCTCAGGAATTCTGGGAGTTGAAGTCCACGAGTCATAAAAGAGCCAAGGTTGCCTACCCCTGAGCTAAACGATGGGGAAGGAAGTAGTAAAATGAGAGGGGGGGAGGGGGGATCTGTTCTTAATGTATCAACCACCTCCTGTGTGATGCTTTCCCATTGGAGCCCCAAGCCAGCTGGCAGAACCAGGTCTTCAAAGTCTTACGGAAGTCTTTAAGGCAGCGGTTCTCAACCTATGGGTCGTGACCCCATTTGGGGTCGATCGACCATTTCACGGGGGTCGCCAAGCAAGGCTGTCTGCCATTTTTTTTGTCCACCATTTTTTCCCCCTTTTCCGGCGGGTGCCTTACCTCCCTTGGGCTGGGCCAGCTGGTGGTCGGCCTGTTCCGTCTCTGCCGCTTGCCAGCTACGCCTCGGCTGGCGCAGGGGGCGGAACCACGCATGCGCGGTGCTCCCGGGCCGGGAAAGTCCTCGACTTACGACCGATGGGTAGTCCTCGACTTACGACCGGTTTAGTCCTCAACTTACGACCGGTTTAGTCCTCAACTTACGACCGGTTGGGGGTCGCAGCATTAAAAAGGTTGAGAACCACTGCTTTAAGGTCTCATGGAAGGTCAGGAGGATTGGATCAGCGAGAATTAACAGAACTCCTACTTTGGACTGTACCAACGTGAACTTTGTAAAATGTGAAACACAGTGCCCACGATGTCAGGGAGATGAGATAAGATAAGATATAAGATATAAGATATAAGATATAAGATATAAGATATAAGATATAAGATAAGATAAGATAAGATAAGATAAGATAAGATAAGATAAGATAACCTTTATTGTCATTTTTTTTTACTGTGGGCACAACGGCACACATCAAAAATGAAATTTAGTTGCCCACTCTCAAAGTGAAACACATACATGGCGCACACCTAAACATACTATTGAATTTGAATTTGAATTTATTATATTTATACCCCGCCCTTCTCCCGGAGGACTCAGGGCGGCTTACAGCCAGTTTAAAAACAGTTTGATACAAATACAAAATATAAAATTTAAGAGAATAATTAAAAATAAATATTTAAATAGGCCGCTTCTACTAAAATTTAGTTAAAACCAATTTAAAATACCCCTAGGCCAGTCCTGCCCGCTGAAACAACCAAGTCTTGAGGGTGCGGCGGAAGGAGGGGAGATCCGGAATCACCCGGATCTCTGGGGGCAGCTCGTGGGTCTATACATATGAACAACATATGTATAGATCCACATCCCTACATATACATAGCAAATAAATATTAAATACTGTCCATCTTGAATATATAACGGAAGGAGGAAGCTTGAGAGTTCACAAGGTTAATGCTGTATGGAATGAAACTCTGGCTGAATCTGGATGTTCTGCTACGGATACCACGAAGTTCCTTGTCCTTGAGAAGCTTAATGCAAAGAGATTGTCAACCGTCCCATTGGGGTGGACAGCAAAAGAAACTCCTGGGACGTGTTTTTACCAAGAGTGTAACTTTACTGAGGATTCCATATGGGTACAGAAGTGGAAAAGCCAGTTCTAACTCTTTTGCGTGCAAACAGCCTAGGAAAACTTTCCCTTCCCCCCCCCCAGATCTCTCATTGTCCATTGTCCACCAATCATTTGCGCTTGCTTTGTTTTGGGAACAATTTTTCTGCCTCAGAGGTTCCCAGCCGGTGACCTTGGGGTGTTGGGTCCATCGCAGGCTTCCAGTCGGCACACTTGCATTCCAAATTTCCCTCCCAAACCTCCATTACATTTCAATGCCTTCCCTCCCCCCCTCCCGTTACTGTTGTCTGGTTGCGAGCAGGGCTGCCTCGCAAGTCCACCATGACAGAATTTTTTTTTATTTCAGATAACGGAGAGGTGAATTAGGTAATTCCGCGGTACATCCCGCATTCACAATTTTTTTCCCCAATTAGAGTAAGAATTAAGCCAGGGGCCCCTGACTACATGAACATTAGACTTCTATATTTTATTTATATTTCACACTTCTTAAGTGTCCATTTTTCTCTGTAACATTTCAAACTGCTGCTGCCCCCCTATTGCTGTTATGGGGATGCATTGGGAATAATGTTTCTCTGTAGCCTCTGACTGGATCCAGTGCATTTTCAAAACTTGGTCTCTCTCTCTCTCTATTTTTTTAGTAGCTTTTCCTATTGACCTGAATTTGGTCCCATTCTCTAGCATTTTCAGACTTATCCTGCTGATAGTCAGGCAGAGAACTTTATCATAATTTATTTCACATGTTCTTGGGAATTGGAAAGAGTACAAAGGATGGGATGAACGTGAGAGGATGAAGTTCTGAGCCAAAGCAAAGGAAACAAGATATTTCACCTTCCTCTATAGGTGAATACAGGTAGTCCTCAACTTACAACCAAAACTGAGTCCCAAATTTCAATTGTTAAGTGGCTTTTGCCCCTTTTTATGAATTTTCTTGCCACAGTTGTTAAGTGAATCACTGCAGTTGTTAAGCTAGGAACACGGTTGTTAAGTGGATCTGGCTTCCCTATAGACTTTGCTTGTCAGAGGGTCACAAAAGGGGATCACCTGACCCCGCTGCAACCGTCATAAATATGAGTCAATTTTGATCACATGACCATGGGGATGCTACAGTAGTCATAAGTGTGAAAAATGGTCATAGGTCCTTTTCTCAGTGACACTGTAACTTCAAATGGTCACTAAATGAATTGTTGTAAGTCAAGGACCGCCTGTAATTTTTGAGGCTACTCTAGAGGCTCATCTAAATGCTCACCACCCCAAAAGAGCACCTAGTATTCATAACTTAAAAATAAAAATTGAAAAAATAAATAGCAGAATTTTCATGTGATTTTGCTGTTCTTGCCTAACATCTCTCAAGATCTTGCAAGATTAGCAGCATCTTAGGGCAGGGGTAAGGCAACCTCGGCTCTTTTATGACTCGTGGACTTCAACTCCCAGAATTCCTGAGCCAGCCATGCTGAGGGGAAAGGGAGAGATTTCCAAGCTGAGCCATGCTGGCTCAGGAATTCTGGGAGTTGAAGTCCACGAGTCATAAAAGAGCCAAGGTTGCCCACCCCTGCCTTAGGGTGAGTCCCGGGTTGGTGAACTCTGCAGCATGCCCACAGGACGTCTTACAATGTTGCTGGTGGGAAAAGAATATTTTAGAGTTTGCAAAGATATGAGTGAGGAATTGTGGAAAGGACAATCCCTGAAAGCTCTATAATCCTTATTTTTTTTTTTTTAAAAAAAACAACACCTGAGAAACTGATTCACTGTAAGGTATCTTTATTCCAAGATAACCTTTGGCTCCCTTGACCTTTTTAGGAAATAAAATGAGTGTGTTATAAGCTTGGATTCAAAAAGCAACAAAATTAAGTAAGGGGGGTGGGGAAAGCATCCCAGGAACAAGTGAAGGTGAATGAGAAGGAATTTCAACAATTGCCTTTGGAGTAAATAACAGGGGTTTGTGTGTAGGGATGTGTGTACAGCCAGATTCCCCCATTTTGTGATTGTTCTTGACATGGCCGTAGGCTCAACGTTTCCCGCTTCTAGGCTGGGCAGTCACTCCATAATAATACACTGTTGAGCAGAGAAAGGATTTGCTGGCTTAAATGGGCAGTGAGAAATTTCTTAGGGTTGGGCTGGAGGTCAATTTAACCCTTCTCTCTCCTCCAGCTGATGGGACCATGCCACACCACCGAGGCTATCTCCGGTTACTGGCTGCTTTCTGCCTCACCTTCCTCTTCCTCACGTTCACCGCCTCTTATAAGCCTGTCATCGTTGTCCATGGCCTGTTTGACAGCCCTTCTGACTTCCAGCTCTTGCTTAATTTCATCAATGAGGTGAGTGGGGGAGGCCACATTGGTCAGACTGATGGGGGATGATGGGAACTATAGACACTGACTTCATAAATAATTATTTGTATCCTCTCCTCCTCCACTTCCACTTCCCTCCTCCTCCTTCTCCTTCCCTCCCCTCTGCTCTCCTCTCCCCTCCTTTTTTTCCTCTTTTGCCTTTTTCTTCTCCTTCCCTCCTTCTCCTTTTCTTCTCCTCTGCTTTGCTGATCTGGGAGGGAGAATGTTGTAGTCATCTTGATCTGATGAGAATCTGGATTAGGGTGTAATTTATTTTTCTGGGCCTCGGGTGACTCATTCTGGGCAGGCTGTAGACAGACTATTTATTTTATTTATTTATTTTATTTATTTATAGTTGAATTTTTACCCCGCCCTTCTCCTTACGGACTCAGGGCGGCTGACAGCCTGATAAAAAAACAGATACAAAAATACCCCAATTTAAAAACATAATTAAAATGAAATATTGGATTTGGCCTGTGTCATTTAAAATTGTTTTTAAAACCCCACTAAAAATCTCCCCCTATACATACTCCTGTGCGGTACGATAAAAGGCTGATATTGCACAGGGATTGAGCTGGAAAGTCTGGTTTTTCTAGGTAGGGGAAGATGAGGGATGAAACTCTGAAGCTGCCAAATGCTTGTTTTATTGCCATCCAAATCTCAATTCGTGACCGTTCTAATCTAATAATCTCTTGTTTTGGAGAGTCACCCATTCTTTCATCCAGACCAAGCAACATACCACAAAATACAATTTTAAATCTGGTAAACCCAAGCCTCCTTTTTCTTTAGCATCTTGCAACAATTTATACTTATTCTCAGGGTTTTTTTCTCTCTCTTGCCATATGAACTTAGAAATGTCCTTTTGTCATTGTTTAAGTTATACACTACATCAGTCATCAGTACTGATAATTTATGAAATAGAAACCACATCTTTTGGTAAAGCAATCATCTTGATTATGGAAATCCTGCTGCAGTAAAGATAATTGTAATTTATCCTGCCTAACTGCCCCATTCTTTTTTCAAATTAGTCAGCATGCTTCTTCCTCTACTCCTTTTTTCCCTTTGTGACACCCTATAAAGTAGTTTAGATTGAGAACTATAGTGGCACCTTAATACTCATTGTTAATTGGTTCCAGGAGGTGCAATGAGTGCCAAAAACTATGAGTACCAAACAGATTTTTCTCATAAGGAATAATATAGTGAATCACAAGACAGCTGACACTGACAGGTTCTAGCTTATGTGTTGAGTACCAAACAAACAATGAGTACCGGGACAAAATTTTCACATCAAAATGTGAAATTTGATGAATTTCAAAGCAATTGAGTACCAAGGAACCATTGTATGTCTCAGTAAGACTGTGAACTAAACTCTCATTAATCCAAGTCTGGCATTATCTAACCACTACTTCACGCTGCCTCCATACAGGAAAGAGAAAGGGAAAAAAAATCACCACCAGGAGGTATTTTTTCCCTTATCTTGGTGTGTCATCAAAGGAACTTTCTTCAAATGTCAAGGCAAAACAAGTTTAGGATTGTTGCTTTCTGCACAAAGTGACCACAGTGGGTAGCTGTGGTTGTGTTGTGACTAGACTTTGAGCAATCCTTCTTGGTTTGGGCAAGAATATTTAGGAGAAACTGGATCATCAAATCTTCCCCGAAGGAGATAAGGAATAAGTAACAAATGTAGCTTTATGTTTGTGATATTTGTATCTAGAAGGAAGAGACAGAGATTGAAATAGTGCAGGGCTTATGTTTCCTCTTTGTAAATATTTTACACTTCCCTCATCCTTTCTCGCTGTTGAAAGTTGTGTGTTGTTACTTTATTGATAGAAAAAGGACTCTATGTAACTTGGTAGTTCATGTGTAAGATTTTTTTTTATAGCATTGTTACATTTATGCTTCAATATTTATGCTTCAGTCTAAATGTTCAGTTTAGGTTCAGCTTCAGCCTAGATTCTCCCAATGTCTAAAGAATGTGATAAAGTATTGAAAATATCTCGTGCTTTTCATCCCTGTCAAATTCCTATAGACTCATCCGGGAACCAACGTTTCAGTTGTGGATTTGTTTGACCGAACTGAAAGCCTGAAATCTCTATGGATGCAAGTGGAGGGGTTCAGACAAGCGATTTACCCTATTATGCAGAATGCTGTTGATGGGGTCCACCTTTACTGCTACTCACAAGGTAATGGGGCTCTTGGTATGGCCAAAGGCAGGTCTGGCTCCATATTGGAAGGAATAGAGGCTAATTGAGTCATAATTGACTTATGACCTGGAATTGTGCTTGTTAGCCATTGTGGCCGAAAGTCAAGGCACCATGTAACTGGATTTTAATTGTACAACCATTTTTACATTGTTATAAAGTGAATCCAGTGTTGCCAATGGTGGTTTTTTTTGCCAAAAATAGGCAAGAACATCACAAATTGCAGTCACATGACTTTGAAAAGCTGCAACCAATCATCAATGTGAGTTAGTTTCCAAACTCCTGAAATGCAATCATGTGACCACAGGAAAGGAGTGCAGTAGTCATAACTTCAAGGGCAGGTTGTAAGTAGAGTTTTAAAAGTCTGTTGTAATTTTGAACAGCCGTTAAGTCACCAGGTATAAGTTGAGGACTACTTGTACCACCTTTCCTTTCCTTACATTCCCTCATGGTGGCTGAGGAATTCTGGGAGTTGAAGTCCACCTATTGTAAAGGTGCCAGATTCTCACATTTTGGTTGAGGAATTCTGGGAGTTGAAGTCCACCCATTGTAACGCTGCTGAGGTTGAGAAATACTGGCCTAAAGCAAAGTTAGCTCCGAGTTGCTGTGGGAAATTAAAAGTTGTGTGAGGTTTTGCCTTCTGTCGCTCCTCAAGAGCCAATCTACAAGAAGGATCATCCAGGTG